TTTAAGCTTACTAAAATTAAGTTTTTTAATTAAATTTAAACTAATAGACATGTCGATCGTCTAGTGCATCCAAAACACATCCCATTGTATATATATAGTCACGATAAAGATAGTTATATAAATTCAGCAGTAAATGCTATATTAATACTAAACCGACATGATAATCATGAAAAATAAGTACTTTACACTACAAATTTCTAACCCTTAGAGTAAATTTTGTCTTCAAAATTAAAACATACCAAATAAATGCGAATACTTAGCATGCATCTCATCTTCATGTTCTTAAGCTGCTTCTATATCATGATTCCTCCAGAGTACTTTTACTAAGGTGGGTTTGAACGTGCGTTGCACATTAGTTGGTTAATGTTAAAAGATAAGTGTGTAAATTTTAGAGAAATTCATTTGTAAATGTAAAATGTGTTTGTTGATTCAACTTGACATAATTTTCATCTATTTTCTTTGTATATTTTTTCTTATTCTTACGAACATTTGGGAATTTGCCTATAGTTGAACCAAGCATTTGCCTATACAAAAGTTTGTGTGTGTATATATATATATATAGCTCAACTGAAAATATGATTTAGTCCACCTCAACGTAATTTTCTAGATCAAACCCCCGTTCATAATATGATCATAATAATTGAATATCACCAAGGAATACAATATAACAATATATGCACTCTATTGCATCGGAGACGGTTTTCCATGTGAGCAGGCACCATGTAGAATCTTAAATTATAGCTTAAAATGTTAAATACAATTTCATGTACCAACCTTCTTCTAGGGACCTGATTTTGTCGTCATTGGGAATTGATTGTCAGACCACAAAATCATAATTAGAACATTAGGACAATAAGAATAATAAAATAAATAATCTAGATCAGAAGATGTAAAGATTTATGTTGTATTGGCAATTTTGTAGACGAAATAATTATTATAAAAGAATACGATTGTTATAAAAGAATTGTAAAAGTCAAAGAGTCATTTGGAGGGTTATATAGATGAATAATGAGTCTTTGGGTTCAAATATGAAACAATAAGAAAGAATCGTCAAATTTACGCTAGCATGTCGCCTAACTGATATTTGAGCAGAAAAAGTAGAATAATTGTCACCCGCCTGTCGCCCACGTCTCGCTCACTTGTCGCTAGCCTAGCACTCGAGCGACGATGTCATACTGTAAGTTCTTATGGTCTATATATAGTGAAAGTTATTGGCTTGGTCTTAAAAACTCTAAATCATTACTATGAACTTTTGATCGATGATGTCAGTCGAATTAAGTCGGCTGCATACCGTTGCCTTGTTGTGATTCTTCTTCAACCTGAACCTAAGTATTCGATTTAAGGATATCATAAATAAGAGCTTCGTATCAGAATTCTCTCATTTGGTGAGATACTATTAGACTTGCAGTTCTATCATTCACACTAATGACTTGAAGTATACCTTTCTAGTAAGTGTAGT